GGTGTTGGCTGCAGCCAAGGCTGGAGACTGACTGGGGTGTGCTAATGCTCCTGCTGGGGCCAAAGCCAGAGGTTCTTGGCTAGAGCATCTTTCCCCCCTGCTCAGGATCAGACTGATCGTCAGATGTGGGATCAGAAAGGATTTTTACCCCATGGTCAGATGGGTGCTTCCTCTGTAGTGAGGGGACCTCTCGGACCTCTTGAGCATATATTGACAAGTCACAGAAGTGGGACGTTGGCTTTATCTGTGGCAGGTTAGGGTGTTAGGTCTGTGCTGTGGCAGGGTTGATTAGACTTATTTAGAGTCTAAATCAGGCTAGGCAATCCCTGGCATTTTGCTTGGTATGCATGCTTTGGGGTGGGTGGTGGAGCTGTGAGGGGCCCAATCCTGGTTGTGCAGCCCCAGCCCTTTCCCCACCATCTGCCTCAAAGTGCATGTGCATCTGCTGCCAGCAATGAGCTGGGCTGGGGCTCCGCGGACTCTGGTACAGCTGCTTGTGGCCACCCCACTGCCTGCTGTGAGCAGCACAAGCTCCATGGCAGGTGGCAGGGGCATGCCCAGAGCCTGGGCTGGCTGTGGCAGGCATCCAGGAGACTGCAAGCAGCTGTATTGGGGTCCACAGAGCTCTGGGCTGACTTGTTGCTGGTGGCAGGGGCATGCACATCTCAGGGTGGATGGTGGGGAAGGGGCTGGAGTTGCACTGCACTGTCACAAGGCTCCCCCTGGCCTGCCAACCCAGTTACCAGCTGATTTTTCAAGGCAAGTAGCACAGAGCCTCGGAGCAGCTACCCAAATGGATAAAATATCTTCTGCTACCTTAAGAGTTCCAAGGTCTTGGGGAGTTTTGTTTAAAAGAGCTGGTATCAGAAACAAAAAATAAACCCCTGCTCTATAGGCAAAGCCAGCGCTGTGCAATGGATTTACACATCAGGATTCATTCAAACTGCAGGAAATCTAAACTGGTCCTACCGAGACTGTGACCGCTGTGGTGCTATAAATACATGCTCATCCTTCAAGTGACAGTCTCCACTCAAGTGGCAGAATAATGCAAGGAAAACCAAGGGCCAGATGCTATCTTCAATCACAACAGTCATCACTGCACGTCTCCAACAATCTGCTCATCCATATAGGCTCAGTGACAAGCTTCCTGCAATTTGGTGATTCAGGCTGTAGCCGTTAAGCAGGGATTTCATTTCAGTGCTGTGCAGAGCAATTCCTCACTGAGTTGTTGTAATCAGCCCATTTTACCAAGGCAGCAGGAGTGCAAAGGCAAATACATTTACAGAGCCAGGGGCCAGAGACTCGAGCACTGTGGCTGGCCAGGGGGATGTTTTCTCCTAGTGACTCTGGTGTGTGGCACAATAAACTGGCTTCCCATTGGGATGGGTCAACTCTTTGACAGTTTCCATGGGAGTGTGCAAGAGCGGAGGAAGCAGCACTTCCTGCTTATTATATGCAATTCAGAGCTAGTCCTGTCACACACACCGCCTGTGCTGGCAGGCTGTAATCTTGTGCGAGCGCAAGGCCTGGCTGCAGCTCTGTATTTAGTACACATCTCCAGGAATACTTGCCCTTCTGCACGTGAGTGCATTAATCAGCAAGCCATAACTGCATGGGGAGGATGAACTGAGGCATGCAGGACATGTGTTAAAATCCTTCCCATCTGCCAAGAGGAAGAGCAATGACAGCTCTGGCAGCAGTGCACCCAGGGCTAACAACCGCCAAGGAGTTTCTGAGCCCCCCCGCCCTCCGCACACACTCCAGGGAGAGAGGCAGTAATGTGACTGCAATGCAGTTTAGGAAAAATCTGACATAAGTTTTAGATTTTATTCATTCATACATTATTTACAGCAGTTGCTTTCATATTACAATTCTCTTTCATCTTTTCAGTTTTCACTTATAAAAAATTAACCAAATAAACCTTATATAACCAAATTTATCACAGCAGGTCTGGTTAATTTTCACAGTTACAGCGGCCATCAGGAACAGAACTTAAGTACCTACAAGTCATTCATTTACAGTACCTCCCTGGACTCTTCCTGCAGACACACTGCATTTATTTAAGAGCTGACTGGACGTAGTGTTTCAGTATTCTGCTAACGGAAGTTGAGTAGTGGTCACTACACTGAGACTAGCAGTTTATAGGTTGGAACGCAAATGCCTAAATGTACGGAGGAGTAACTTGCATATATAGCATGTCCTGACGTGCTGTGGTAACTGGTCTGTATCAATACATGCGGACAGTTTTCAAATGTTTCCAAGAGTGCCAATTGTTTGCTGCCAGAGGAAAAGTACAGTCATGTATCCTATTTTCTGCTATTGCCGAGTCAGCCATAGTTTACACTGCATTACGAGGTTGCAGAACCAGACGGTTACTTCCATGCTACTTCGAGAGTGCTCTTGTCTATCTGCTGAATGGGCCGTCCTGACTTGCTGTAACTTGTTCTATAGCATTTTACTACAAAGATAATGCCCTGTATATGAACTTTGGAGATTTAAAGAGGCTTCAAGTGGGTGCATCAACAAGCTCACTTCAAATCTGAACCCAAGTCACATAGACCCAATGGCCCATTATAGTACTAATTCTGTTCCCCGGTTAACAATAGCAGCACATGATGATTGCCAGCATGGTCATAACCATATTTTCATGAGTTCTTTCCCCACCCTCCTCCTGCCTTCCAGACATACTCATTTTCTCTGCAGTGGTTATTATTGCTGTTTTAAGGTATGTTCATAGGAGACTATTTCTTTGAGGACCTGCAGCTGCTTCCCATTACAAAGTACAGTACATACGAGTCACCTAGTCCAGCCCCATAGTACCTACCAAGCTGAGCACAGAAAGCACAAGACTCATTTCCCACCGGTCTTGTACAATTGTGACGATGCACAATGAATCTGAATTTCCACTTAGGTACAGGTTAAGTCTTGTAGCCCATAACTTGTACACAGAGCACTGGCTCAGACACTAGCAGGTCTGCTAAGAGCTATAGCCCCATTCATTTCAGTCTTTGCAAACGCATACCACATGACCTGGTCAACACTACAAAGAAGTGATTTCATCTTAACAGCGTTAGGCTCAAGAAGGCTTTTGCCTTAATAAAATAATGCAAGCACACATCAAACTGCTTAAAGCTAATTGCCCAGCACAATCATAAGTACAACACATAAAGCAGGGGATGCTCTTGTTAGACCCCAACTGTAAAATAAAAGAAATATACACAGCACAAGTCAAATGATTAAACTTGGCTTTGGACTAAAGGAAATTGGAAACAATGTTAGCTGTAAATTGGATAAGCTCACACAGCAGTAGCTGCTTACACATTCAAACGCATTGCTTATAAAGTAATGTACAGCAGCATCATGTATTTGTTACACTGTTGCTTTCAGTGACTTCCCATCTTTTACAATTCACAATAACTTCTTTCCTCCCCCGAAAACCAACCATCAGGTAAAACAAAGCAAACACTGAACAGTAAATTCACACACTCCAAATACTGACTTCTAGCTTACTGTTTTAAGTGACAAACAGCCTATTGCAACTCAACTCTGCATTGTGTACATTGCACTTGCACTTACTTTTGTTTCGGTGAAAGATGCTTAGAAAGCTCATCCAGGCAACAGTCTTTCCATGGCACAAGCTAGGAAAATAATCTCTACGTGCACATCCTCTTACTGAGGTGAGGTAAAAACCCTTTGGTTACAAGCACAAGGGCATCGATTTCTCTGCACAAGGTTCCACATGGATATAGCATGAGGGCAAAAAAGGGGGGGATTTCAGCCTTTTGCACTTGTAAGCTTCCTTAATAGGTCACATCCATTTATTTTTTTTAGGTGGCAAAGTGTATGAGACCACAAACTCCAGTTAGCTTGGAACTGGAATGCCTTTATTAGACTTTAAACAGTGCATACCAGCAACATTATCCCAGGCTTTAGTGGAAATCAGGCTCACAGCAAATTTAAAAGTAGATTGTTAATTCAGAGGTAACTGGAGCTGGCACTTGCCCTTGTGTATTTAGCAATTCTAAAACCCTTGCAGTGAGGGCTTGTTATCTATTCATCTGCATTTCAGCCATAAGCTCTGGGCAAATCAAAGGCAGAAGAGATCATGCACTGATTAGGCTCAGTGGTGCGAAGGGCAACAGTAAGGAGCATTATCATTTTTTGTTAAGCCTTAATTTTGCTGAGGCCTCTCAGCAACCGACTTTCATGGACAATATTGTTCTGGATCAGATGGGGCCTGATGCTTCTCGCACTGACATCGATGGCAACTCTGTCACTGCCGCAGCGGCAGTATGAAGAGGTTGTAAAGGCCTGATCTTGCCTTCTGAGCATCTTCCACTCCCACTGAAGTCAACAGGAAAATTTTCTTCCCAGGATAGGCTTGGACCTCATGAGCGCCCTATAAGATCCCTGCCCCTCACATACATGTTGGATCACTCTAGATCTCAAAGAACTTTACCAAAGGAAACCTGATTTTCCCCACTTTACAGATAGTAAAGCAGCACAGACATGAAGGGCAATTTGTCTGTTGCTCCTTTCAAGGAATATTGGACTAGTTTCACACAAATTAGCTATACGTTGTACTTTGGATTCAAGTATACAGTATTTTTGCAGCAAATTGACACTGATGCAGTACAGTTCGCACACTGTTTTTATGTGGAGTTTAGCACAAATAAAGTCAATGCTGTTACCCTTTCAGATCCCAGGTGCATCAACCATCATTACAATATTTTACATTTCACATTTTGGTACATTCATGTTTTTGTTTCAAACAAGTGCTTCTTAAAAACAGCTTCATCCTGTACCTGTACAAACTACCAATCAAAAACCATTCGGCTCTGGACAAGGTTCAGCTACACTGTTCTCAGTGATGGCAGACGACAGAACAAGGAGCAATGGCCTGAAGTTGCAGCAAGGGAAGTTTAGATATTAGGAAAAACATCCCAACCAAGAGGGTGGTGAAGCACTGGAATGGGGTAAGCCAGAGAGGTGAAATCTCCATCCTTGGAGATTTTTAAAGTCTAGCTTGAAGCCCTGGCTGGAATGATCTAGTTGGGGATGGTGCGGCTTTGAGCTAGATGAGCTCCTGAGCTCCCTTCTAGCCCTCATTTTCTATTATTCTACACTGAATTCCAGGTTGTTACACACATACTTACTTTAAAACCATGCATCTTTAAGTAATCAACTGACGTGTATTTTCCAATTAGCAGTTTTAAAAAAGTCAATTGAGGAGGCTCTGCAGATTATTCACAAACTTGATTCTTGGAAGGAAAATTTATTCCCAGTTAAAACAAGTTTCATATCATAGATGTACAGAAAGGAGACAGTGTCAAACCTACTGACACTGTACATAGGACTGCACCCAGATGGGCTCACAGTCTTGTGTGCAGGTAGAAACCTGGGAAGTGCTAAAGAGGTATTGAAACACATTCTTCGGCTGTCCCTCGATACGAGGATGATGTCTGCTGCGGGAGTGGGGGGAAATTATTGGTGCATTTTAAGATGGCTGAAGAGTCCAATCCGTGCTCTGCAAGTTTTTCCACAGATATGACAGGTGGTGCTTTGGGGGGTGGCTGGGGGGCACAGCTGTTGGCCAAGATATTGTGCACTTTGCTTCTTCCTTTACCATTTCTCGGCTTCGATGTATGGTGCAGTGCCATTGAGACCCGTTACCAGCCAGCACGTCCCAGTTTGTAAGGCTGATGCCACCCTTCTTAAGTTATGCTTTCAAGGTGTCCTTGTAATTCTTCCTCCGTCCTCTGCAGGTCCTCTTACCATGGCTGAGTTGAGAGACGAGGACTTGCTTTGGGAGACGAGTGTCAGCCATCCGCACTGTGGCCAGCTCAGCAGAATTGCTGTTTCTTGATCTTTGCCTCAATGCTGGTTATATTAGGTGCAAAGAGGATGCTGGCATTTGTGCAGGGCTCTTCCCATCAAATCGAAGGTTCTTCCTGAGGCAGCGCTGATGGAACCATTCCAGGTGCTTAAAGTGGCTCCGATATGTCACCCACATCTCACACCCATAGGAGCGTAGGGATTATCACTGCATTGCAGACCAGGTTCTTAGCTTCTATCTGTAGATCTCAGTGAGCAAAGACATGGCAAAGCAGCTTTCCAAAGGATATGCTGGCACAGCAAATCCTAGATTTGATTTCTACATCAAGACTGACTGGGAGAGGTGGCTGCCAAGGTATAGGAAAATGCTTGGCACTTTCCAGGGGTTCTCCACCAATGGTAATTTGGGGGGAAAGGGGGGAAGCTTGTGCTGGGGCAGGCTGATGGAGCACCTTGGTCTTCCTAATAGTAAGGGAGAGTCCCAGGCTATGGTAGGCACCTAAAAAAAGGTCAAGGGTGGAGTGCAGATTGACCGCAGCATGTGCGAGGATAACACAGTCGTCAGCATACTGAAGGTCGGTGATGCCAGTCTTGGTAACTTTCATTTTGCTGCGGAGGCACTGCAGGTTGAAAAGCTGACTGTCCATTTGATACTTCACCCCAATTCTGGGAGGAAGGCAGTCATGGATGAGATTCAAAATTGCAGCAAGATAGATGGAGAAAAAGGTTGAGGTGATGACAGCCCTGCTTGACACCAGTACAAACGGTAAATTGGTCCATCTCTGATCCATTGCAGAGGACTGTGGTGGTCATCCCATCATGGAGTAGCCTGAGGACACTGATGAACGTCAACAGACAACCAAACCTATCCAGCAACTTCCATAAGGTTTCACAACTGATGGAGTCGAAGGCCTTGGTTAGGCCAATGAATGCCATAAGCAGCTCTTGGTGTTGCTCTCTACACTTCTCCTGGATCTGTTGTGCAACAAAAATCATGTTGGTGGTACCCATGATGGTTTAAAGCCACACTGGGATTCTGGAAGGACATCTTCGGCAAGGCAGAGGAGGAGATTCAGAAGGATGGGAGTAAGACCCTTCCAGGCAACAGAGAGGAAGGTAATGCCTTGGTAGTTCCCACGCACCGACTTGTCCCCTTTCTTGAAGATAGTCACAATGTCGGCATTCTTTAAGTCAGGTGGAGCTTCCTCTACTGACACCATATGTAGGGCTGCACCCAGAAGGGATCACAGTCTTGCATGCAGGTAGAGACCTGGGAAGTGCTAAAGAGGTACTGAAACATATTGTCCACACCCTGTAGCAACAGGACCCAAGCAAAGCCCAGTGCCATTTCTCTCCATGCAGTGTTTGGAACATGCCAATGGCACAGCACTGTGGAGCGCACTTCAAAGTGGAGGTGAATTACAGCTGCCATTTCTAAGCTGTCTGCAGGTGCAGACCACTTCATCAGAGAAACCAAGGCATGAATTTGTGGCAACCACTAGTTCAAGAGGCCTCACTAAAGTCTGAAACCCTGTTCCTAACTGCTTTAGCCATTGAGCATTACTAAGCAAGGCCAAGAGCACTACAGAGCCAACCTAAAACCTGGGATAACTGATCAAAGGTGCATGGTGGCATCAGCAGGCCCCAAGGACCTGGTTCTCACAGATGCGCACACATAACTCTTACTAGCTTCACAGAGGACAGTACAGGTGGTGCCCAGGGAGACCTGGGCCATGAACAAGGTTGAGCCTTGACTCATAACTGAAATGTTTCCTGTTTCCTCTTAAAAACCTGGAAGAAAAGATCAGAGGCCCTGGCTCTGTTGGGGAGCAGGGCAGGGGGTGCCGCAGCACTGATCCCAGTCAGCTCCATCCAGGTATTCACCTAAGTGGAGCTCACTGCAAGATAAGGGCTCAGGCAGGGAAACTCTGTTTTAAAGACCAACAAATCAGTGAAAAAGAAGCATGGACATAGAACGTATTAGCTAGGAAGCTGCCAGGGCAGATGTGGGTAGGGACCAGGGAGGACCCATTTGTTTGCAGATGCCAGTCCCGTAGTTGAAAGGTCTCCTGCCAGTCAAACCACACAGCTCCAGCTCAGCTGGATGTAGTTCCACTAGCCATCCAATTAACCAAATTACAATGAAAATCCCAACTCTTGTCACAAGAATCCCAGCATTCCCACATGGGGCTGGCAGTCTGGAACTTGTGTACAGGGTCACGCAACTGCCAGTCCCTCAGTGCCACCCAAAGCCCCAAACTCAGCACAGGGAATGGCAACAGACAGAGAGAATGGCTCAGTTCATCTTTAACATCGTTCCTTATTTCATACATATTTGGCCTTCCTACCACAGCTGCAGAGGACCGCTGGGAAGATCCTCTAGCAGCTCTTCTGCTCGTCGCCTTCAAATGGAGTGTCCCTGAGCTCTTCGTACTGCCCTCCATGCACTTCTGTGCCAGTGCTGAAGTACCAGCTGCCGGGACTTGCGTGGTCCCTTCAGCAGTCTCTGTCCAGAAGCAGCAGGAGGTCCAGAAGCAGCAAAGGACAGATAGACAGCAAAGCTGGGTCCTGTCGCTGCTGGGAAGTTGCACATCGGAGGAGTTCCAGGACTTGTGCAGAGAGAGGACATGTGGAAGCCTTTTGCAGAGCTATGTACATAGGTAAAATAGAGGCGATGGATGGACGAAATGGAAAAACCCTTCAGCTTGCCCTGCCTACACAGACTCAGGATTTGCCTACACTGCAGACTGCAATGCAGTGCGGAGATGCCCAAGCTAGTTATGAATGAACCAGTACTGAGAGCAGAACCAATCTGGCCACGGCAACACCCGGCTCTATGGGGGCTAAACTGCCCCACCAAGAGTGCTGGGCTGAACTCTGCACCGGCCAGGCTAGAGTGCTCCTAGTCTGCTCATTTAAACCTAGCTGGGTTTCTCTACATGATCTTGCAGCCTGCAGCATAGCCAGACTAGAAGACAGTGCAGCTTGAGCCTGGGCTCCCTCACAGGAAGGACAAGCATGTTCTACAGAACAACCAAAGATGATCCACCTTCAAGCCTGTACCAACATAAACAGGCTTTGCAAAATTTCCCACCAGAGCAAATCCAACAACTAAGCAGCAGCAGGAGGCTCAGGTATTTTTCAGCCGTGGAAGTGTCTAATCCAACTCACAGCAAATCCAGCCAACAGCAGTAAAAATGCCTGAGCCTGGTCTACATCAGTATTCTCACTGGAGCTAGTACAAGTGGGAGATGTCCAACCACGATAGCCTAGGACGAAGCTTAGGTTAGTAGAGCTCTACTAACTCATCTGCTGTCACCACTGAGAAAAAAGAGATGGAAAGATTTAACAGTATGTCCTTTCTTTAGGAGATTACACTTGAGGAAAAAGACAGGCAGCTGGGGTTCCTGGTATGATGACCAAACTGAATTTTCCAAGCACACTTGTCACAGAGCAGGAGAGAAATCACAAAGGCAGTAAAGACAAATTCACACAGCAACAAATGTCTGAGTGGCAGCATCTTGATTGCTATGCCCCCCCGTGCACTTAGAAGTATAGAGATACCATAGCACTTTGCAAGCTGCATGTTATAGCAACACCCCTCTTTTATGCAGCTCCCAAGGTGTCATGATCAGAGATGCAGTCATAACCCATCGGTTACATTTTAACCAGCTTTGGAAGTGGTGGTGACATACCAGTGCGTCTGACTCTGGGATATAATGGTTTTTGTACCTGTTTTGGCTTATCTCATCGGTATGAATGAGGCATACTACAAAGGCACAAGTATCAAATAAAACCAGCAACATTCTTTTAATTAAATACCCCAATAAAAAAATTAAGCGCTTGGTTTCAGCTTCATGTATTTCCCCCTTTGTTAAGAGATTAGTTATTTTTATTTTCTGGAAAAGGTTTAGTGCAGCGACTATACAGCAACAGAAAAAATAAACTAAAAAGGCACAAACTGTTTTGTTCTTTTCTTTCATTTTTGCTAACACTTTGTATGTGTCTGTTTTACTCCAGCTAATAAATCACTTGAAGCAGCAAGAAAATATTATGCCAATTTCTGTACACTATACAAAAACCCCTACCAACAGTATATATTTTGGCTTCTGGAGAAATGTTCAGCATAGAAAGACTTTAAAAAATATAGTGCCCACAAAGAAATATTGTTCATTACTCATGGTTTCTTGAAAGAGTGCCCTCCATTCTCAATTTTCTCCCTTTATTGCTGGGCCAATATATCACAGGACACTGCTGCTTTGTGCATGGTAGAGACTGAGACAGGCAGCAATCCAGCACTGAGAGGGTGAACTGATCAACAGAATATTTTTTCAGATTGCTCTGATAAGGCTGTGCCTGCATTTATTGCCTTGACCTCACTTCTTGTTCTGGGATTGCACGGGAGAAGGAGGCTGCGATTTCTTTTTTCCTCCCTTCCAGCTCAGGTGAAAGGGCTGGGCTCTGGAGATTGGAGCCCACATCCTTTCAGCAGCTCTGCAATTGCTCTCCCGGGAAGACTGCCCTCCTCCTCTCATTAACATTTGCTAAGCAAGTACAGGCTTTTTCCCCTGCTGAAAGGGGACCTGCAGAGATGCTGCTGGTAAATCAAGAGTTCTCAAAGACACTCACTCTGGTAGGAGGAGGGCCTGTTTACATGGTGACGCGCGGACAAGTGAAGGCAAACAAGCCAACAGTGTGCAGTCAGCATGCACAGGGGCTTATCTACGTGATGAAATTACTGCCACATAAGGCTGAATGACAATTTGCAAGGTGCTAGCTATGCCCCATGCAGGCCCATTCATTGCACTGAGTCCGGCAGCTTGCTCTACTCTTAAAGTCAAGTCAGCTGCCTTCCACTTACTGCTGCTGAACAGCGCCCAGACAGGGAGTGAGCATGGGGTGGCCAGCGCACTGCTAATTCTCACCCAATCCAGCCTCCGACGTGCCGCAGAGTGCATGGATGCTCTCATTCAGGAGTCAAGGAAAACACTTGCACACTTCTGGTTGATTTATCTCAACTTTCCCGGGCGCCCCTGTACAGGCAGAATTGTGACGGGATGGCACGGAGCAGTGCCAGCTGGTCACAAGCAACTGTCCTCCAGGCCTTCACGCTGGTAAATCTCAGTGCTGGAAACACTCTCAACTGGAAACGAAGGGAGAGGGGTTTTTTTGGTTTCAACACTACAGTATTACTTACATGCGTCTCATCTTCCGCCTGTCAAGCTGTTTAAGTGCTCCTACTTTCATTTTCTATGATTCCCCATTCATTTGATTCCAAAATCTGTTTGGAAAATAACATTTGCTCCTGCATTAACACTCCCCTCCTCCCTGAAACTCTCCTTTCCACCTAGATGCTTCTATTGTATTTCTAAGTACAAGTGTGATTAACATAGGTCTCTCCCTTGTTGATTTCAGTGTGATACATTTTTTCCACGCGCATTATACTTCATAGAACGGTAACATTTTTCCCAGGAACTAAGTGAAAGGGGGTTTCCCTTTAAATTGAATAAGACAGCTGAAACCTTCCACCCACCCCCGAGTTAAGTGCAGCCAGAAATGGTCTGTATATTTCTGATAACACATTTTAGAAATAACCTACTGCGTCCCCCCCCTCCCCCCCACCCCCGCCGAGACAATTCATGCAAAGTTGCTATTTGTTTAAATAAGTTATAAAAATTGATATTTCAGGCTAGAAGAAGCTGTAGTCTTGGTTATTCATTTGTTGGCAGGCACTGTACATACATACTAGGTACAGACACATGCCAAATCTGCTTTGCATTGCTTTTTGCATTGTACAATTCACAAATGTGACATCATTAAAGCAGCTAATTATTTTTTATGGAAGGCTGCAGTGAGGCCATCTATGTTTATCGAACAAGCAGCTGGTTAAGATAATATGTATGTGTCCCCCCCACCCCATGTTCCCAAAATGCAATTATCTGTCGCACATTGCTTTTCTGAAGTGTTCAGAATTGGTGGGCACATTAATGTGCAAATGTGTTGCCATAGGAACTGCAGCCTCCATTATGCTTCAATGACACCATTCAGCAAAAGCCAAAACTAAAAAATAAAACAAAACAAAACATTAATTTAAAAAAAAACAAAAAACCAAAATAAACCAGAAGGCAGCAAAGAGAAACTCCAATGCACATGCGGAAGTCTGGCCCAGGACTGCAGGTGATGCACGGATATAGAACAGCGCAGGAGATATTTAGGTTTGATCTTACTTCATAATATGTTACAATGGGGCTCAGAGTTCAGATGGGTCAAGTCTGTTTGCTGGCTTAGGAAGGAGAATGAGAATGGAGAAAAAGTCATGGTTATTGGATGCACCAAGGTTCTTTCAGACATTTGGCAGCATGAGGCACATCCAAAAAAGTGCAACACCAGTGCCTTGTTGGCAGTGCCGTGTGTTTGAGTGCGTGCACACACTTCCTCTTCATGCATTGTAGCAAGCGGGTTGTTTTGTTTTTCACATTTTCTTTGAAAACTATTAACCGATAATTTACGGGAAGATGAATACCTATTCTACGTACTGGTGCGTGAAATACTCAGAAATGCATTCAAGTAATATTTCTGCACTAGCATGAATGCCATCACTACGTTATCTTATACTGGAAAAGAAAAAAAACCCACAAAAAACAAAAAGTGTACATCAGACCAGGGGTACGGTTATGTATTTAAGTTTCTGTGCTTTATGTAGGTACCTGGGTAGGATTGGAACAATAGGCTGTAGGTTCACTCTGACCTGCCAGGTCATGAACAGGGTATGCATTAGGAGAGCAGTACTTCCAGCATCAGCACCACCACCCTACAGCATGCGAGGAAGGATCCTTATTTTGTACAATCAAGCTGTACAAAGCAAATTAAAAATGAAATGAGGGAACAAAATGAACAAAACTGGCAAAAAAAAGTGACAAAAAAAATAAAATAAAATAAAATAAAACCACAAGGTCGGTTTTGTTTTGGAGGGGGGAGGAGGAAAATATTTTTGCGGTTTTGTTTTTATTCTTCACGCAGCTGCAGGCGGTAGCGGTGGTAGCGAAGCTGGAAAAACATTCTCTCTAGTAAGGAATGTGTCATCCCGGGAAGGGTGTAGTGTTCAACGATGCCCACGTGTTTGAACCCCAAGGACTCATACAGCTTGTGGGCTGCCACCTTCACAGCCGTGGTTCCCAGTACGACAGAAGAGTAGTTGTTGAGCATGGCAAACTCCAGCACTTTGCGGCCCAGGGCTTTGGCAATCCCTTTGCCGCGGTATTTGGAGTCTACAGACATGCGGCGCAGCTCCAGCGTGTTGTCTTCCTCGTTGCCTCTCGCAGCCACAATTCCAACCACGTTTCCATCCAGCACGGCCACCCAGAAGCAGGAGCCTGCAGGAGACAAAGGAGCTGGTGAGGCTGGAGAATGCAGTCACACCTTCGCATAAGCCTCCACTTATGCCAATACAAGGCCCATTTACAAAGGTATCGATATCAGTGGAAATTAGATCTTAACTTTCTTAAGTTCTTTGAGGAATCCCATTAGACAGCATCATTAAGTGCCTTAATACATTTGTAAATCTGCCCCACATGCTTCTGAAGGTTGCTACAGAAAGCGTTCCCAGAGAAATTGTGCAAAGTTGTTCCAATATGAAATGCAAGAACCCCCAAGACCAAAATTACAGAGACTATTAGACACAGTGCATCAGTATCAGGTGACTGGAGTAATTTAACTCTAACCTATCATGAATAATTATCAGGAGAATTTTTTTCCTACTTATCAGGTTGCTCACTGAAATCACATAGGATAGGACAGAGAGGGGACAAAATGTGGGTTTGAACCACCTCAGGTCAAGGAGGGCCTAGAAATCAGGGTTCCCACATGCTGGGAAAGGGCTCCAACCATTAGGTTACTATAAAAGGTTGCCACTACTTCAACAAAGTTTTGAACGAAAGAGGCAATGAGTGGTGAATTGTCCATGCTATGTCTCAATTGATCCTAGACATACTCTGACAATGCCTACTGGGCTCAGGCCCTCTGGGGACTTAGGTGCAGGGACAGCTAGGCACTGAATCCCAAATTACCCTAGCCAGGAGACATGTGGAGTGGCTCGGATCAACCAAGGTGGTGGTAGGTTTTTCTGGTGAAAACCTGAATGCCCCAATTCTACTGTAAATCTTGCCCATCCTCTTAATCCCACAGCACGGGGTGTTGACTTCAAGTGGCCATTAAAGATCCTACTAGACACGTCGAGTCTACACTGGGGGAATCTGGACTGTTATTTCCTGCTCCAGGTCTAACTTGGGTGCTGCTGACCATGTTCTGCCCCAGAGACAGTCCTGTATCAGTGGGCGTGTCTACACGTGCACTTTAAATGCACAGTAGCCTATTTTACTGTGCATTAGAGCGTCACAGCAAAAACTGTTCTAATCCGCTAATGCGCAGTATTATTAAGCGACTGTGCATTACGCGTCACTAAAAAAGCATGTGCTTTCACTACTGCGCATTAGGGCAGCCTAATGTGCATTTAGTTATTACCTCACATTAGGGGTACTAAATTTAATGTGCAGCAACACAAGAGCATTAATGGATGTGTACATGCACCCAATGGTGAGAAAATCCTGAGAAGCTGCACCTAAGGGTGCCTATACCCAAGTGCAGAGGCTGCTCCAGTGCGCTGTAATTACAGTGTGTCAGAGCAGAGTTGATTAATTGAGTCTGCTGCAGCATGGTAATTACTGCGGTCCAGCCAGCCTGTGTGTCTTGCGTGTCAGGAGCGCATGAACTAAAGCTCATTCGATGAGCTTCAGTTCAAGCACCCCTGCTGCCATTTTGAAGCACAGGGACACTGATACATGGGACACTGCGGCACTTTAATAAGTGCTGTTAAAAAGTGCCACCCCCCCACCCCCTGGAGCACATGTAAAAGTGCCCTAATAGTCTGTAAAAGCCTTTGGAATCCATTTGGAAGAAATAAGCTGCGTACAGGCAAATCATCATCAAAAAGCACAGGTTCTCTAAGAAGCAATTAAAGAATATCCTTCTTCACCTAGTAAAAGCTTTCCTAAGAAATTCAGCAAGCAAAGCATTTCTGCAGCTAACTTAGCTCCTGTACTGCAGTAAGAGCACAACCCACTGCAGTACATTAACAGGCTGTCAGAAATGCAAAGAGGTGAGCTGAGTGCTGCAATTACAGTTCTGGAAAACTAACTGTTCATGTAAGCACTACTGTAACCAAGCCACAGAAGACATCTGGAAACAGCACAGCAAGGTCTCAGACTCCCATAAGTATCCCTCCAACTCTCAAGAAGCTTCCTTAAAAACGGACAGCAGAAGGCACTGCCTCCGGCTGACTCATTTTGGCTCCCTCCTTTGCACGTCTTTTGTATTACTGCTCCCCTCTTAGACTGTAGGTCCACTCTAACACTTACAGAGATATACTTGTTAATAGAAAGATGAGACACCTTAATGAGGGGGCTTGGATACTACACTGATGAGAGCCAAACGAGTACCTATACAGACAGGCAGCCATTTCTCTTAGCAGTGAAAAACTCCTCTCAAATCCGAGCAGAATTAACAGCTCAGTTTCACCAATCTGCAAGGGGCCAGCAGGGGAGATTATGCTCAAGGGCAACCAACACGGGTTCATTAGGGGCAGGTCCTGTCAGACCAACCTGGTGGCCTCCTACGACCAGGTCACAAAATCCTTAGATGCAGGTGTCGCAGTGGACATAGTCTTTCTGGACATTAGGAAGGCCTTCGACACGGGCTCTCACCCCATTCTCATTAAAAAATTGGCAACTGTGGCGTTGATGCCTACACAGTCAGATGGGTCGCAAATTGGCTGGAGGGCTGCACCCAGAGAGTGGTGGTGGACGGGTCATTTTTGACCTGGAGGGATGTGGGGAGTGGGGGCCCCCCAGGCTCGGTCCTCAGACCCGCACTGTTCAGCATCTTCATCAGTGACTTGGACAAGGGGATGAAAAGCACCTTGTTCAAATTCGTGGACAACACTAAGATGTGGGGAGAGGTGGGCACGCTAGAAGGGAGGGGCAGGCTACAACTAGATCTGGACAGGTTACAGGGGGGGGTGGATGAGAATAGGATGGGATTCAATACTGACAAGTGCAAGGTGCTGCACCTAGGGAGGAAGAACCAGCAGCATACCTACAGGTGGGGAACTCCCTTCTGGTCAGTGCAGAGGCAGAAAAGGATCTTGGAGTCATTATTGATTCCAAGATGAACATGGACCACCAATGTGGGGACACGGTCAGTAAGGCCAACTGCCCCTTGTCGTGCATCCATAGATGCATCACAAGCAGGTCCAAGGAGGTGATCCTCCCCCTCTATGCGACATTGGTCAAGCTGCAGTTGGAGTACTGCGTCCAGTTCTGGGCACCGCACTTCAGGAGGGATGTGGACAACATGGAGAGGGTCCAGAGGAGGGCCACTCGCATGATCCGGGGGCAGCAGGGCAGGCCCTACGAGGAGAGGCTGAGGGACCTGAATCTGTGCAGCCTCCACAAGAAAAGGCTGAGGGGGGATGTAGTGGTAATCTATAAACTTACCAGGGGGAGCCAGTGGGAAATGGGAGAGTCCCTGTTCCCCCGAGCACTACCCAGAGTAACAAGGAATAATAGCCACAAGTTGACTGAGACTAGATTCAGGCTAGACATCAGGAAGCACTACTTCACAGTCAGGGTGGCTAGGATCTGGAACCAACTTCCAAGGGAAGTGGTGGTCACTCCTACCCTGGGGGTCTTCAAAAGGAGGCTAGATAATCACCTCGCCGGGGTCGTTTGATCCCAGCATTCATTCTTGCCCATGGCAGGGAGTCGGACTTGATGATCTGCTCAGGTCCCTTCCAACCCTACCAACTATGAAACTACCTCTGCAAGCAAACAACCAACCCACTCATCTGCTTAATGAGTGGAACATCTCCTCCATTAGAAAACCTGGTGGATCTCAGTGGGTCCTGAACACCACCCATCACAGGCTGTGGAGGACCAAGGAGGGAAAGGTGTTTCATAGCTAAAGATCCATCAGCCAAGGACCAGCTAAGAATGGGGACCATTGATCTAGACCCAGTGCAAACACCAAAAAGCAGATGCCTCCTGTCCAGAGCATCTCAGTCAAGCTGTCTAAACCAGGAATGAGCAATCTTTTCTGGCCATGGATGGGAATGACCCACCCCGTTTGGAGGTTGGCAGGCGGTAGGACTCTGCTGCCACTGCCATTCGTCTCCCTGATGGCATGGGGAGAATGCCCTCGGCCTGCACGTCTCCTCGCAGCAGCATAGGGAGAGCGCTCGCGGAAGATGCTTCCTGCCAGCCAAGCCCTACATCCGCAGGCTGGAACTGAAGGCTCTGCAGGCCAGATTTAACCCACACTGCTGACCCCTGGTCTAAATAGATGCAGAATGGGCCCCCACACAGAGAAGGCCCAGTCAAAATTTCACAGTTCTCTGGTTGCCCAAGATCCTGGCTCTGGCTGAGTCGGAA